AATGAAACGGGGGATAATTGCATAATGACAGATAGGAGGGGAACAGAGAATCCACTGATCATTTCCTGTGAGTTGGCCAATATCCAGCAAGTCTCAAAGGATATTGTGATGTTTAAAGGATAGAGGAAAAGAGCTAGTTTTGATGGAGTATTTCCCTCTTAGCTCATTTTACTTTGTAAAGCAAATCACTGAAACAATTAGTTGACAGCATGGTGTTAGTTTTCTCGTGGTAAATTAGGAAGATTAAGCAAACACAGGACTGCATTTTAACTATAATCAGCATGTTTGGATCTGTAGTCTGTAATGATTTCCAATTCTCAGAAGAAGCTATATTGATAATATTATTCATATTGTCCCTTTAATCAAGTATAAAGTTGTTTAGTGCCTTTGTGTTTTTCACTGTGACTGAGAATGACTTTGCTTTACATTTATTTTAAATTTTTTATTTATTTGAAGCACATTTTATCATTTATTCAAATCAGATGACATACGTTTGGAAGTAAAAAGATTCATTGTTTCAAGTTTATTACATTGATTTTCCTAAAGTACGTTGAAGAATAAAATAGAGTTTGTATTCCTGTGCCACTACACCTTTGAAGAACATCAAAAATAATAAAATGATATAACTATATGCACAATATGATCCTGCTTTTACCAGAAAGTCAGCTACGAATTTGCCACTTCCTATTTTGTATTTAACAAATCTTTGGATAATGTTTAACATTTATTTTAAATTGGTAAAAGTGCAGGACCTGTAAACTGTAATTGAATGTTTTGTATAATTAGTTCATTTGACTCTTGCAAAAATGAGCCTGTCTTTCCTATCTGAAGAACTTTTTCTCTTCCCTTCCTTCCTTCTATGTAATGTAATTTAGAGATAAATGATATCTAGTTACTAAGGAAACAAGTGTTGTATACCAAGGAAGTATGGTCTCTGGAGACCAACATGCACAGGCACTTGTCACAAGCAATAACCACTTGTCTGCTTATTGACACATTTTGCATCTGCTTTGGCCCATTCCTAGTTTACAGAGCCTGCAATCAGCACAATTGCCTTTTCTTCTGCTTGCTCACTGACTTCAGTTTGGGACATCAATTAGTGGTATCTTTCATTCAAACTAGGTTTCCAACAGTCTTTACAAAGTGTCTCTGTATCAGTTTCTGTTACTGTCTACCTCATGTTGTAGCTTAGTTTTAGTGGAATATTATGGTTTGTTTAAATTTAGCCTTAATATGCTCTGTGAATGCTGCCAATTATAATTTATTTAGCAAATCTTAGTTAAATGACCATGACTTAGCATAATGTATGAACATAGTCTAAATCCAGAATATTGGATTGTAAAAAATACTTTGCATGGTATATGACTCATACATAAAAACAAGAGATAGCTGTATTTTTTTACAAAAGTTTCACATTATTCTTAGATTGTAAATGTTTTCTTTGTTTAGAGTTCTAGATGCATAGTTTAGGATATTAATGTTAAAGTGTTGTTATTTGCTCTAATTGTAAATATGCACAGTTTTTTTTACATAAATTATCTCCAAAATTTGTACTTATATTCTTTTATTGCTATTTAGTTCCTTTTAAAAATGTGTTTGGTTAATTTAAACTGCATCAGAATTTTCTGAGAGCCTTTGAAATTGTCAGTAAGTCAATTTCCAAAAAGGTACTGATGAAAATAATTGTCTAGTTGTCAGTCCACTAATAAATCTCAATTGTCCCAGTTCAGCAAATTAAGGTTTTCAGAAATTAAGTCTTGAAACCTACTGAAAGTTAATTATACCTAGCCTAGGTACTAAACAATACTTCAAATACCTCTTTCAATTAAAAAAAAATCCTTGGAAGACAAAAAACAAGCATAGGATGTTTAGAGAATAGATACAACAGATTAATGAAGATTTAAGGGCTAATTGGATTCTGTCAGTTGAATTTGCTATGTGAATATTTCTCTATTTATTTATTCCTCATTCCCAGAGTAAAAGAAGCTTTGTTTCCTTCCTACCTGTCTTTTGTAGTGGATGCTAAACATTGATCCTGCTGACTAATTTCTCTACTTTGGTTTTTTCCCTTTGTCTTCTCAACTGGCAATGGCTTCTCCTTCTCTTTTCATTTTCTCCTCTTTTCTGTCACAATCATTCTTCTTTCAGCCTTTTTTATGTATGTATGTTTTGAATTGTTTTTCCTACTATTTCTTCCCCTGCCATCAAGATCACTCTCTTTCCCAAAACAGTGCTCCAATAATGCATCCCACTTGTCTTTTTCTCATTCAACACCTGAAGTTTAGTCAAAGAACCTTTCTACAAATCTAACATTCATTAATAGTGTGATGTTTATTGCCTAGAAACTTGCTGATTTTAGCTACGCTTTTAAAAAATCTATCTATCTATCTATCTGTCTGTCTGTCTGTCTGTC